AACACCAAAAGACCCGGAAGACCACGGAAACCAACTGTGGTGGATGACCGAAGAATTCTTTCCCTGGTGAAGAAAACACCCTTCACAACAGCTGGCCAAATCAAGAACACTTTCCAGGAGGTAGGTGTATGTGTGTCAAAGTCAATAATCAAGAGAAGACTTCACCAGAGTGAATACAGAGGGTTCACCACAAGATGTAAACCATTGGTGAGCCTCAAAAACAGGAAGGCCAGATTAAAGTTTGCCAAACGACATCTAAAAAAGCCTTCACAGTTCTGGAACAACATCCTATAGACAGATGAGACGAAGATCAACTTGTACCAGAGTGATGGGAAGAGAAGAGTATGGAGAAGGAAAGGTACTGCTCATGATCCTAAGCATACCACCTCATCAGTGAAGCATGGAGGTGGTAGTGTCATGGCGTGGGCATGTATGGCTGCCAATGGAACTGGTTCTCTTGTATTTATTGATGATGTGCCTGCTGACAAAAGCAGCAGAATGAATTCGGAAGTGTTTCGGGCAATATTATCTGCTCATATTCAGCCAAATGCTTCAGAACTCATTGGACGCCGCTTCACAGTGCAGATGGACAATGACCCAAAGCATACTGCAAAAGAGCAACCAAAGAGTTTTTTTAAGGGAAAGAAGTGGAATGTTATGCAATGGCCAAGTCAATCACTTGACCTGAATCCGATTGAGCATGCATTTCACTTGCTGAAGACAAAACTGAAGGGAAAACGCCCCAAGCAGGAACTGAAGACAGCTGCAGTAGAGGCCTGGCAGAGCATCACCAGGGATGAAACCCAGCGTCTGGTGATGTCTATGCGTTCCAGACTTCAGGCTGTAATTGACTGCAAAGGATTTGCAACCAAGTATTAAAAAGTGAAAGTTTGATTTACGATTATTATTCTGTCCCATTACTTTTGGTCCCTTAACAAGTGGGAGGCACATATGCAAACTGTTGTAATTCCTACATTGTTCACCTGATTTGGATGTAAATACCCTCAAATTAAAGCTGACAGTCTGCAGTTAAAGCAAATCTTGTTCGTTTCATTTCAAATCCATTATGGTGGTGTATAGAGCCAAAAATGTTAGAATTGTGTCGATGTCCCAATATTTATGGACCGGACTGTATTCTTTTCAAAAAAATTATCGTACAATTCGACCATCAATGAGTCGAAAATCATGAATTTTCCAACATGCCCGATCACCAAAAAGGGGAGGAACCACGAAAATCGGTCGGTGCCATTGACCCACTCGGCCAATTATTCTTGGGTCCAATTTTCGGATGAAAAATCGGTCGGATTTCGACCCATGTATGGCTGGCCATAGTCATAAGCAAAAAAAAAAAAAAAGGTTAAGGAGAACATCACATACAAACCTTTGTGTGCGGTAGATTACTGTTAAAATGGCAAAGGCCACTGCAACAATCAACCCATAATCCAGACCAAGGGAAACTGATGCCAGAAAGGATACCACCCAGATACTCTAAAAAGGGATACAGAAGGCATTTTACAGTTTAAACTATAATGCAGTTTTCTTTGAAACATGAACTGTGAATAATCAAATGTTTTTATATTAAGAAATGTGTAGCATGCAAGACTGTTGCAAATCATTTAGAAATTGCTGCAAGATTATTGATTACAGTGGATCATATATGGATACGGTGAATACAGATCATTAAATATCCAATAATCTCTCGAGGGCCTGTGTCAACGGGCTTTTGTTTGGTTTTAAACAGGTTTTGCATACAAGCGGTTTGGGGATACACAACCCAATTAAAAATGTTCAAATGCATTCTGAATGCTCTCAGAAGTTTGTCAAACTGATGTCATCAGCACAAGCCCAAAGCCTTTCAACCCAGGCCCTAAATGTTTCGGATATAATGCCTTTCCGTTCAGGCTTATGGATTTGACCAAGCACATTCATGGCCATGGATATATCCATGATGAAAATAAAACTGCACAATAACATTGTACAAGACTGATCAAACGTCTTTTAGATTAAAAATCTCTGGGTACCATTCTCAATTAACAGTCCACTATTTAAAAAAAAAAAAAAAATACAAATCTCGAGTAGAAAAATCACCCTTGTAAACTTGCATAACCAAGGCATTCAGAAGCAAGACCAGGTAAACTAGAATCTGTAACAGGCATGAAAAATTACTGTTGCAACAGTTCAAAGTGAAGTACCACAAATTACTAACTAACAGCATGGCAAGACAACATTTGCAGCAAATGCCACTGCTGTGCTCAATGTGTGTATTTTTCAGTGTTATCAGCATGCTCCTTTTCCCAGCCCTTACAACATCTCTTTGCTATGCTTTAATATCTAAGCCCGTTCTAATAAAGCCAAGCTGTTTTTGATTCTTAAGGCAATTAATAAATGTCAATATGGTTTTCAAAGGACAAAATTAGAAAAACAGCAGCACCAATGAGCTTACAATCTAGGTAGGGTACCTGAGGCAAAGGGAGATAAAGTGACTTGCCCAAGGTCACACGGAGCTGGTTTTGAAACCAGGATGCCTGGTTCACAGTCCAGTGCTGTAGAGCCACTCCTCCTCCCTAAGACAATCTGCATAAATAAATGTTAGTTTTTGTGAGGTTTCTATTGCTTAGCTAGAATACTCCAAAACTAATATATTAGGATGGTTAGTTTAAACATTTTATGGTTGTACAAATATTTTGCATTAGCTACTAGCGAAACAAAATATAGCCTACAAAATGTATGAGTGTTTGAAAAGAAACTATGAATTTAAGTAATTCTTGTCACCATGTTCGAATATGTTAAGCTTAAAAAAATTACTTTAAAAAAAAAAAAAAAAAAAAAGAAGAACAAAAACAGATTTGATGTCAAAGTTCACGGCTTAAAACTCTAAGTAAAATAAAATGGTTTAGGCTATGTTGTTAATTCATTTTCGCACATACCAGTTCTAATCTGCTTGTTCTCCATAAATGTGGGATGTCTGCAAATTGCTTGAACATTCCTTTTAGGTTTACCATCACAATGGCAGCCAATACTGTCTGTAACAAAATAGCATTTTTTTATACAAATCAGTTTCTTTGCATCTTAAGTCAGAAACACCGGTATATTTATGAAATATTGGTTTCCACTTTCATTAAAGCATATCAAATACAGTTTATCACAGATCAGCTATAGTGCTTATAAAAGGAATTAAAACAGGAGGAGTGAGGCAGGTGAAACATTTGATACAAACTGCAGTATTCAGTAAAAAGGCGATTCAACCTTAAAGCTGAACTCCACGCATATATAAAAGACACAAATTAATGATGGTCTATATTATTACATTATTAATTGTATTTTGTACATGCAAGCAGTGCAAGTACCTGAATTTGACTTGGTATTAGCCTCTTGCAGTCCCTGTACAGCAGAACATCAAGAAGGGGAAGGAGAAGCAGCAAAATGAGCAAATTAGTTGTGTGCTGCAATGGAAGAAGGATAGTAGGAGAGAGCAAACTAACAGAGATGAGCTCATTAGTGTGCTGCTTTTCCTTTCACTGTCCAGTCACTGGCTGGGGAAGGGGAGGAGATCTGTAAGTCTAAGTAAACTGCACCAAAGTAAAATAAAGTCACTTCTACTGCCAGAGAAGGGTTATGATTTGTGGCAGTGCTGTGCAAAATCTCAGAACTAGATGGACAGAAATAAAAAAAACAAAAGAAGTCATTTGTTGCAATCCAGACAAAGCAACAGGTCAGCTAAGGTGTATGTAAATGCAAATTTTGTTCTTCAGTTTAATATAGAGTGGTGAAAGGTTAAGCTGGCCATACACGGTTTAAATAAACCAGACAAAATTAACTTAGTGGGTGGCCTAGTCGGCCCCCTCCCTCCTGATTTGAAAAATTGGAGTGGGTTGAAAACGGTCAACAAAACTGTGGCTGCAGTTAATATATTGCAGCCACTGTTCAGGTACTGACTGCACAGCTCAATCTCAGTCCTGTTAAGACTGAGATTGAGCTCTGCAGTGACAATTGCAGCAGTTGTTTTATTATTCTTGGTCATAATCCTGCGCAATTTCCTTTTGTAGCTTTTGGTGAGTTGACCATGGTGGCCGCACTTATGTTTATCAGATGATGATTCTGAAAACTGGATATGCTGTCAAAACCTTTGTTATTGTACCTTGTGACATGACAAATAAATTAGCAACTTCAGTCTCAGAGCCACCAGCTAAATGGACACAAAAAATTGCCCTCTTTGAAGCTCAGTAAGCTCTACGTGACTCCATATTACTAGCAGTGCATGCAGCGAATGACAAAAGGAAGCAAAAGAAGATTACTTCACTTCCAAACATGAAACAAGTCTTCACTTTCATACCTGCAAATCATGTGGTGTTTCCATTTTTTTGTCTAACTCCTGTATTTTGACAGCCATTGGTGCCACCCAGTAATCTCCTGTACAAATACAGTAATCTCAAGCACACTGTGAGGTTTATTTACTAAAGCTGGAGAGTGCAAAATCAGGCTAATTTCTGCATAGAAGCCAATCAGCTTCCAGGTTTTATTGCCAAAGCTTAATTGAACAAGCTGAAGTTTGAAGCCAATTTGTTTCTATGCAAAAGTGAGCCCAAATTTGCTCTTTTCACCAAATTGAGAAACCAACTGTGTTCTCCAGAAAGTATATAATACAGCTGACCATTACATAAACAATGAAAAAAATGTTCTTTTGTTAGTCAAGAATAACGTGTAAAACCACATGCATTTAACTGAACTCTTCACATGTATACAAGTGGCCTTTTGACCCTTTTAAAAATGTTTTCCATTCTGTATTATACACGCACATGTACAGGGCCCACTCAACTAAATGTAATTGCATCTATTGTAAACTAAACCCATATGCTGGTGTGCATTACAACACTAGAAAACACACAAAATATCACATCAAAATGCCTGCAAAAGAATGGTCACAAAATATTTGCATTTTGTACAGATCAGGTCCAGGAGTTGTTCAATTTCCATACCTGAGGTAATGGTTCAAATAGATATCCAATAACCAGTATGACCAACAGTACCATAAAGGAGGACAGCAAACCTGCAATCTAGAAGACAGCATTTACAGTCACTGTTAAATAGTGTTGAAATAAGGGTGCCTAAATATATAAGCAATTGTTGAAATGTTATTTCCTGCAAATTGATTTACAATTGTAACGTCTGCAACAGACTGTTATGAATAATTTCCCTCACACACTTAAAGAAACCTCCCCCATGATGTGGTGGTGGTGGTGTGTTTGTGTGAGAGTGGGGTAGAGGGGCTTAGCTATTGAAATACCAGCCTGTACAGCAGATGTGCCGATGTGATGTCCGCAAGCGGGCTACACGTTTTTTGTTAACTGGAACCAAAAAAAGAAAGCTTTTCAATTCCAATCATAATACACAGGATGAGTACTGTGCACAGTAGCAATTTCTAAAATGTTAAGGCCTGCGTTTACCTAAAGTGAACCTTTGTCTGGAATTCTACCTGAAAAATAGCAGTGGACCTCTTGGTATGCGAGTATGGCTAGACACTCCTGTGACATCTAAAGCTCAGCTGCCTCTGACTGTGATCTTAGGAGATTTGGATGTCACTTCTAGGTTGCTGTCTATTCTCCATGCTGGAGGCTCTGACAAGAGGAAGCAAAGCCCTGTTTCTACAAAGATGGCCACCTCCACACACACAGACATAGTGCAGGTAAGCACAACAAGACAAGTTACTGAAAGGAAAAAAACAAAACAAAATCAGCAGCAAGTGAAGCACAGCCAATACTGGTGAGTAGTCCTTTGCCCTTTGTCTGCCTTTTATTTGAGGAAACAGCATTTAGAGCTTAATTCCTTCATAAAATGAGAGAACAATTAGTGTGTAGTGCAAATAATTTTCATATGTGCATTCTAAAAGTTTCAGAAAAGAACCATGAATCAAGTAAAAAGTAATAGCCATCCCTTCTCGAAGGACCAATAGACCTGTAGGTTCATAAAAACAGAGATAAGACTGTGTGAATAGATATTATGTCTGTCTATATTCTTGCCCACCTACATCAGGGGCATTTTCTGAAAGCAGTGGACCTGTGTGCAAGGCCCTTCTGCTTGAGAAAAAGATAGTAGTAGTAGTAAGTGGTAGGTGGTGCAGAGTTCAGGGGTCAATAGTAAGTAGCCCTCTATCCCAAAAAACAGACACACAGCCCTCCGCCCTGTACAGCTTACCATTATCTCTGGGTTGTGATTCCCTTTGTCCGCAGCACAGGCACTCTTCTTTCTTTTCCCTAGGTCTGGTAGGCAGGGCTTAAAGGACTATGATTGGCCTTAGGTGTGGCCACTTACAGTCCACCTCTCCTTGGAAACAAGGACCTGCCCCTAGCAGTAGACCAACACCGATCTACCCCAGTTGAGCTCAGGTGTGTTCAGACACATGCTGCTGTGGGGCGGGAATACCTCCACCACCTATGATTAGCTGTCAGCTTTGACAGCTTCCCAAGTTTGGGCAGGATACCATTCATGTCCAAATATGTCAGATTTCATCTGGGAGAGATCGGTGTTGATCTAATATGAACGCAATGTATAAAGACACAATGGGGCCCCTGCACACATTGCACCCATAGAGGATACGCCACTGAGCTATGTCTAATCGCTGTTTAATGGATATCATGACCCTGCTGTACATGTTAGCTCTTTTATGCTGGAAAATTGAATATAAATTAAGACAAAAATGAAAAGAGCATGTAAATATAGTTTTTGTGCAGTATATCAACATAGGTGGTCTCACTGCATCAGGAGCAGGAGAATTTACTATCCAACTTGTCCTGAAATAAACAAGGCATAATTCACCTGGATACAAGAAGTAGTTGCTATGATATGTAGTGTTACTAACACATGCCAAAGTTGCAAAACTATGCTCAGGAGTTAGGATTTGTTTTACCCTTTGTCATGAAGGATCAACATAGTTGTAAAGGAAGACATTTTTTACCTTATTGCATTCTATAAAGTAAGGGAAAAAAACCCTTCTGCATGCGGCTCACTAAATACATACCTGTGCCTGATCTCGCTCCAGCGATGTGCACAAGAGCAAAGGCTCTCTTGGCACTCTCATTCCTCATTGCCTCAGATACAGCAGCATTGGCTTCTGCTGCAGAAGGGGTCGGAGCCAAGCCCTGCTCTGTGTGTCTTATAGACACACAGAGCAGGGCTCAGGAGCAAGCGTGCAAGGGGGGGGGGGGGGTGTAACCAGGAGCACTGGCAGGGGTCCCAAAGAAGGGGAGGACCTGGCTCAGAGTAGGTAAGTATAACATGTTTTTTTTTTTTTTTTTTTAATTAAAGCTTTGCAATCACTTTAAAGATTAACTTACTGGCAAAGCTAAAAATATGTTTTTTTTCTACCTTATTTAATGATATTACAACATGCTGCAAATGAAAACCTAATAAAAGGAATGACAGTCTACACATTACACTGTGGTAAGGAAGAATGGGTATTCTTAACTAATGCCACTTACCTGTGTATTTCCTCCAGTGCTTTCTTGAACGAGGCTACGAGACATTGAGCATGTCACAGCAAACGTATGAAAGAAAGAACCAATAAAATTGCACATTCCCAATGCAATAAGTTCCTGCAAATTGTAAACAGGTTATTATACTCAATAACATTTCAAAAGCTGTATTTTAGATTAGTAAAGGTTATCTGAATTGACCTCCAGTAATAGAAAATAAACATAGTACTGCAAAGCAAGGTATGAGGGAAATAGGCACACCCCCTACATCACTGTTTAAAGGATAAGTTCATGTCTGGTAACAGGTTACATATTCCACCTGTTTTTAGAGTGGAACATGTAACATGTTCTCATAGCTGCAGCTTCTGCCCACCGCCCCCACTCCCTCTGACAGATCGTACAGGGAGACTTCTCCCGTACTGTCAAATTTAAAAGAAAAAAAAAAATAAACAAACAAACACGGCCGTACTGGGCTCCACCCACACCATTCATTCACAGACTTTCGTGAATGAATGAACTGCAAGTCCCGACATCCTTAGCACCTGTCAGCTTGTAGTTTTCAGTGAACTACCACACTCTATAGAGTGCCATGGTAGTTCATTGAAGGTTCCTGTCAGAATATCTGCTTGCTTGTACATACCGTATGGCAAGCAGATATTCTGACAGGTCTGCAGACCTGCATGGCATCACCAATCTTCTGATCACTGGTGCAATGCTTTCCAGGCTCCTGTAGGAAAAATAATAAATGCACATTTTTTTTTACCTGCAAAAAAATACGCATTTATAATTTTTGTCTAAAATGTGAACTTATCCTTTAATGCCTGCTTAACATACCTTCATTAACAGATGTGGCAAAAGGGTGTAGCCATGTCTTTGCAAATACTTTCAGAAAGTTAGCATTTACAGGAATTTTATGGACTCTAAATCAACATTCTACTCATAAAGGCGGGAGCTTCCTAGATGGACACAGGAGGAGTTGATGATCTGTCTGGTCCTTCCTCCCCTTCCATTGAGAAATGTTCCTTTCACTGTTTTTACTGTCTGTAACATGATCTGCGAATGGAAATCATGTGACTCAGACTCTCCCCCTTTCACAGTTCGTCTATCATATAACAGATTATGTAGGGAACTTTTCCACTGCAGGTTCCCAAAAGACCTTAAGCGATTTACCACCACAGCACCAAAATGCTAAATCTATGGTTGCCATGCTAAAGCTTTAGCTTCAGCACTTGGGACTCACTGATCTGGAACACATACAGAGAGAATGAATTCTAACACCAATTTACAAAAACACAAATTTATAAAAAGGTGAATTTTTTTGGTAAATATATCTTAATATACATTGAATGATTCTCCACCAATGCATATTTGGTGAATTTCACAGTTATTGATTTATAAGAATGCCCTTAACATTTTTACAATTTTAGTGACGTAAATTATTGCATGGAATCCTATATATACTAATAAAGCCCATTCTGATGTACTGCCAGAAAGTGGAGCTTTCACTTCCCAGGATATCCCTACCCGTTTGTAAAGAAGCCTTTTGTTTACAGTGTTCAATACTCAACTTAAGATTTACACACAAATGAATGTGTCAGAGCAGGAACTCATCTCCCTCACCTCCACTTCTATAGGTCCATTTCAATTAGAGATGTGAGGCTGGTTTATTAAAGAAGGAGGAGAATGTTGACTCAAATTGTGTTAATATTCACTTTAATTATCCAATCATGTGTGGAAAAAAAAAAAAAAAAAAAAAAAACAAAAACCCAACAACACAGGACTTTTCTTTTCACATAAATGGAAAACTGAAGCAATATCCATGTCAGATAATCCACAGTGCTCTTGGAATTCTTTGTCATAAATTAAAAGGTTTGTTTGTAAACCAAAGATAAAACCGGATATTACAAATAAACTGGATCAAAAATATTATATTTGTATTTAATCAGTTTTTTTTTTATACTGCAAAAAGTTTTGTTAAAAGAGATTTGTTAATTGTTATGACAACCATTTGCAGATTTAAGAAGAAAAACTGGATTTTTTGTTACTTACTATAAAATCCCTTTCTCTGGGTTCATTGACAGACACAGCATCTTTTATTCTTGACCATAGGGTTATATCGCCACCTACAAGAGTAGGACACTAGGCAGAAAAAAAGAAACTCGGCACCACCTATGGACAGTCCTGGCTGACATAAACCCCCTCTCTGCATAGGCAATCCAGTTAGTCACAAGCAGTGTCAGAAAAAATTAGAGGTGTGGGCGTTGTGTCCATCAAACTCAAAGAAAGGGATTTGACAGTGAGTAACAAAAAAATCCTGTTTTCTCATTCTTTCATTGATCGACACAGCTTCTTCTAGTCTCGACCACAGGGACGTCCCAAAGCAGTGCCCAACACGTGAGGGGTGGGAGAAAAAAAAAACAAAAACAAGGTCAACAGGACCTCAAAAGGCACAGAAGAGCCCAACTAGAACCCCCCCCCCCAGGAGGGAACAGAATCTGCATGCCAAACATTGCGGCTAAAACAAGCGTCCAAAGACACCAGGACATCCACCTTGTAAAACGTACTAAAGATGTGCACAGATTACCAGGTTTTCCTTGCAGATTTGACACCTTTGAAGATCTAAGCCTTTCAGGTACATCTTCCTGGAAGTATACTTTTGTGCCATCAGCATGGTAGGGATGATGGACAATACCCTGTCCTTTAGAACCTGGCTTCCAATAGCCAAGCCATTAAAAGCCAGTGACTGTAAAGCAGGGTGGAAGGTTGGTCTTTGAGACAGAAGATCTGTCTTGAGCAGCAGACCCCAGGGGGCGCCCACGACCAACTGCTCTACGTCGGCATACCAGGGGCGGTAGGGCAATCCGGAGACACCAGAATGAATGGCCTCTATCCTTCACAGCAGATGGGGTAGAGGTTTGAGAGCAGGGAACGTGTATAAAATGATATTGTTGCTTCTGCCCAAGGATCACTCGCCCTGGCCATGAATGTCAGCACCTTCCAGTTGAACCGAGATGCTAGAAGATCCATGTCCAGAGTGCCCCACCAGAGACAAATCTGATGAAAAAACAAAATCGGGATACAGAGACCACTCGCCTTGGTCCAACGTTTGATGGCTGAGGTAATCTGCCTGCCAACTGTCTACACCAGGAATGTGCACAGCAGACAGTGCTGGCATGTGATGCTCCACCCATCTGAGGATGCAGGAAGCCTCTAGCGACGCTGCCACACTCTCTGTCCCACCTTGGTGGTTGACATAGCTCACCGCAGTGGCATTGTCTGACTGGATCCTGACAGGGTGCCACCAGCAGGAGATGGAAGCCACCAAAGTAGCAACATCCTGGTTTTCTGACCCAGGAAAATCTGGAAGTCCAAGGAGTTGGGGGGACCTGTTTCACTTGGACAAGATTTTCTTCTGAAGGGTCCTTGTATGGAACGGAGCGAATGGAACCGTCTCAAGGCAGATACCATGAGCCCTAGGACCTGCATGCAACAGCGAAGGGAGTACCACCTGCAGGACAGCAGTAGTTGAACCGCTGTCGCTTCCGGACAGCAGAAGAAGCACCTTGGCCGACACGGTGTCCAGAACCAGGCCCAGATAATCCAGCTTCCAGATTGGGATCAGAGTGGATTTTTGTAGATTCAAGATCCACCTGAACTCCTGCAAGGTGTTGATCATGATCACCACGTTGTACTCCAAAGTCGGGAGAGACTCTCAGCAAAGCCAGCACCAGAGCAAACACTTTAGTGAAAACCCAAAGGAGCGGAGGAAAGAGCGGAAGCAATACCAAAGGGCAGCACGACAAACTGAGAATGCTCCTCTCCCACTACGAAAATACTGAGGAACTGCTGGCGCCTGGCACAGATGGGGATGTGCAGGTAGGTATCCTTATTGTCTATTGATGCCAGGAGATCCTTTTAGTGAAGGGACACCACCACAGACCGAATGGACTCCATCTGGAACTTCTGCACTTGCACGAAGCAGTTCAGAGCCTTGAGATCCAGGATTGGGCAAAACCTTCCTTCCTTTTTCAGAACAGTAAACAGGTTGGAATAGAACCCCCGAAAATGTTTAGTGTCCGTAACCAGGACAATCACCCCTTGACACAGCAAGTCCTGCACAGCCCCTGACAACATCTTCAGGCAAGCAGGAGAGAAGTGCAGGTTGGATAGAAAAACCTCTCTGGAGGATAGGACTGAAAATTCTATTTTGAAACCAGACAGGATCAACTCGTGGACCTATTTGTCAGACGTCAGGGAGGTCCACAGGGCTACAAACCAGAGCAGACAACCCCCCACCCTGGACATGGGTGGGGGTGCACCTTCATGCCGAGAAGTACTTGTCCGTGGACCTGACAGGTCCGGCAGTCCAGGGGCGCTTGGTACCCCCTGCGGGGGCCTTGAGAGCCTTGGAACCCTTGTCTGCAGATCCAGAGAGATGAAAAACCTGTGCAGAAAAAAAAAAAAAAAAAAAAAAAAAAAAAAAAAAAAAAAAAAGACTGCGCTTGTGACGCAGCTCCATACCCCGTCTGGACTGTGGAAGAAAGGTATTCTTTCCCCCAGTAAGTTTCTTGATGATGTCATCCAGGGTAGCCCCAACAGAGGCGATCACCCTGGAAAGCCTTTTTTAAAAGGCAGACCAGCATTTGAGCCACAGCACACGTCGAAGCACCCTGCCAAAATGGAGAGCAAGGGGCCCATATCCAAGGACGCATCACACAAAAATTTAAGGTCCTGGACCAGCTGGTTTGCCTATTCCATGTAAGCCAGGGGAACTTGCTCCCCAGCAAGGCTGTTGCAAAGTAGTTTGCCTCATTCCGTAAGGGTCTGAGACAACAGGTGTTAGGAATGGACTTGCCAGTAGTGGTGGGACTCACCTGCCTTGTGGGCTGCAGTACCAGGGCTGGCCAGCGGGTGCTCCCAGCAATCAGAGACTCAACCCTGCAGTCAGCCAAACACCTGAAACTGCTTATGCAGGTGTATTTAAGTGATGGCCAGACCTGCAGTCTTTGCCTTGGTGTGTGTGTTTTTCCTGGGCCCTGTATCTTGTAATCCTGCATTCTTGTTCCTGTTCCTGTGTTCCTGCTAGTACGTTTCCTTGTTGCCAAACTCTGCCTGTTCTGATTACGCTGACCCTCTCCTGCTCTGACCCCGGCTCGTTCCTGACCATCCCTCTGCCTGACCCTCTGTACCACGCTGCCCGCTACCTGCTGAACCTGGCTTGTGACCCCGACCATTCTCCGCTTGCTCCCCCTGTACCTACCTGCCCGATTATTATTGACCCGGCCTGCCTGACGACGCTTGCATTGTAGGTACTGTTATCTGTGGGTGGTTGGTTTGGTTTGTTTGCACTGTGTTATGTTTTAGTATTGCACTGCGTTTATGTTTGTATTGTTAGTGTTAATAAATTATATTGTTTATAACATATCTGAAGTCTGCATTTCCCTGCTTCAGTCACATACCTCTGGTCATACCCTGGAGCCCTGGCAACAGGGCAGTGGCAAAAAACTGGCCAAAGAGCCAAGCCAGCAATAGAGAGCATTGTGTATGCGACCAAATCCACCTGTCTATGGAATGGTAATTGAGCGCTGGGAACATCAATAAAAAGCAGCTAGCATAAGAGGTAACCTTTGGAACCCAATAAACACATGTAGAAAAATATATGCAGCGCTAATAAAACTAATGAAAACAAACGGAAAATCAGAACATAGGTTGCACTAGCATAGATGAAAAAAACTCAGTCCATATTACATGGTGGGATAAAGTGATAGGTGCAATTGTCCAAGTGATCCATGGTCAGAGATAATCGTGACTCTAGTGATCCTGTAATTGTACAAATAATGCACTAACCAGATAGCGCATAAAGTGCGCATGGAGCAATTAAGACCCGCTCCTGGTGCTCTGGACTTGTGATTTCAGGAGGATGTCATCTGCAGGTTAGCCACCAGATGTCATCAATCCAGGTACATTCGTAAGTCATCCACCAGGAAAATCATCAGCGGGGGAGGGGTAATCACACATCACTCCAAACCAGCAGGAACCTTCAAAAGTGGGCTCCCATGCAATAGATGAGACCCAGAGAGGTTTCTAATAGTGTAGTATGTCTTTAATATGTAAAATTACAGCATATGAAAATGATGAATAAACTTACATCCAGAATAAAATCATAGCCACCAGGATGTCAGTCAGGATGGCCTTGTGGTAGGAGTACACAGGTCAGGGGCACCTTTGTACTCCTACCACAAGGCCATCCTGACTGACATCCTGGTGGCTATGATTTTACTCTGGATGTAAGTTTATTCATCATTTTCATATGTAATATGGACTGAGTTTTTTTCATCTATGCTAGTGTGCAACCTATGTTCTGATTTTCCATTTGTTTTCATTAGTTTTATTAGCGCTGCATATATTTTTCTAAATCCACCTGTCTGCCAGGTCCTTAAAGGACGGAGACACTTCCACCGGTATCAAAGTGGTCTTATTCAGCCTGCAAAATAGGCGGGTCCACGACAGACGCACTGATTCTTCAGAAGGAATTCTTTGAAGCGATAACGCACGGCAAACCGCCTAAGAGACCACAAAACGTCTCAGGACGATCTCAATCTTTGTACACATATTTGTCAAAGTAAGGGAGAAAAGGTAACACGCCACGAGGAGTCTTGTGCGTACCAAAGGCGACAGACACATTCGTGGTTGCCCCAGAGGAAACTCCATCTTTAGGATTTCTCGCATTGATGTGATAAGTGCATCCACCAGCGCCTTTTTATGCGCAACAGCAGCACTCATCCTCACTATTAGAAGGGCCGAGGTTCTCATAAGCCGGACCTGCGAGCATGACTGCGTTCACAGCGGCAGAGTCAGACTCATCATCCGATGAGGTCGATGAAACATGAGAGGGCGGGGGTCGCTGCTTGCTCGCCTTATGACCCAACGCCACCTCCACCCGGGAAAATAGGACTCCAGGACCACCATCAGCGTGTGAATAGAAACAGAGGACCCAGAGGGACCAGTTGCCTCAAGGAGGGGATATTTGATCCCAAAGCTCCATCTCCAAAAGAGACCCACAGAGAAGGCACCACCAGGGAAGCCCACCAGTCACAAGGGAACCCCCAAAAGGACACCGCACACCATGCCCAGAGAGGAGGACTACCCCACCAGGACTCACCACACCAGGCAAAAGCAGAGAGGCCAGCAGTCTCACAGCTATCCTGATGAACAGAAGAGGCCGACACACAGCTACAAGAAAATAGCTGTCATATCCCTACCCACCAAAGCCCCGTTAAAGCCAGACACCAAGAAAATGGCTGCCGCTGAGCTCACAGAGCAGCTGCTAGAGGAGAAACCAGTGCCAGCCAAACACATGGCCTCCGTAGAAAAAAAATGCTATGAAACCACAGTTCCCAGCAGGCAGCTACTCCTGACACTAGGCAGAAAGAACTGGATTGCCTATGCAGAGAGGGGGTTTATATCAGCCAGAACTGTCCATAGGCAGTGCCGAGTTTCTTTTTTCTGCCTAGTGTTCTACTACTGTAGGTGGCGATATAACCCTATGGTTGAGAATAGAAGATGCTGTCAGTCAATGAACAAAAAAGAAAAAAAAAAACATATTTCAAGACAAAAAGAAAAAAGGTCAAGAAAATGACTTTTGTATCTGGTTATTTAAAATGGTCAAACATGCATGTAGTAACCCTACTAAGGAAGAAGCCATCATCACTTTCAGCATAAATAGTTTCTTCTGATAACTTAATATCTTCTTCCCAAAACTATCATAGCAACACCTAAAATAAAAAAGTAAATCTATTTCTGTTGAGAAACACCGAAGCATTGCAGTGATGAGCATTAGATTGTGGACTTATTACGCGTTTACTAGTGTATACAGAGTACAGATACAAAATGAAGCCCTTTAGTTCTCACCTGATTGCCACTGACTGCATATCCATGTTTAAGGGCAAATATTTTGGCCATTGATATAGTCATGGAAAATCCAACAATTGCAATTGCCAATGCATCCACAAAAACAGCGGAGAACAGACTGAGGTCAGGAAAGGCTGGAGACCGGAACCTACAAATTAAACAAAAATTATATAATATAGGTGTAATATGCTTTAAAGAAACAGAAATACTACCCCAGCAGAAATACATCCCAGCAGTCCACCTGGCATCTTTAGTGCTGTAGTTGGGTGGAAAAGTCAAGATAACCATGAGATCTAAAAAGATTACGTCGGTCAGACAACTGTATGTTGTCCTATAGCTCAGTTGAAGAATCAGTGGTCTAACAAAGAAAAGGCACAACTACAACCGTGTCAAGGAAGTCATACCCTATAGGAATATTTCCAACCACGTCTACATCATATGACTCTTTAAACTTTAATCCAGCTGAAATTCCAGTTGAGATTATTACCTTAAAAAAGGAGGAAAACAACTATTTTAATCTACATTGTAAAACACAGGCAAAACAGCATGGCTGTATTCAACTACAAGGCTAATAAAGAAAAACAATACTGTATTCTGTTGTGATAATAATATATGTAAATAAAATGTAGTTTTGTCTGTGCTATGATGTAATGGTTAGTAAACACAGACTTAAAGTGGTTATTAAAAAGGTTTGATTTTATTTTCTTTAAAATAATAAACATGTTATACTTACCTCCTCTTCTCGGGTCCCCCACCGGCGCTTTTGACCCCCCTACCTTGCACAGTGCCTCCAGAGCAAGCTGATTGCTCTGGGGGCATTCATGTATGTGCTCGCTTCTGAGCTGGCTCTTTGTGCCTATGGGACACACAAAGGGAGGCTCCATTTCCCCCCTCCCTGGCTGTGATTGACTGTAGCGGGGAGCCAATGGCTGCTATGACTTAGACAACGAATGATGAGGGAGAGACCTGGGAGAAGCACTGCTCGCGTGCACATGACTGGATCGAGATGGGGCTCAGGTAAGTATGGGGGGGGGGGGGGGATTACTGCTGCACACAGAAGGTTTTTTACCTTCAAGCACATTTACAACCACTTTAAGGGACAGAACAGGGTAGCCCTGCAGTGAACATGAGGGAAGGGGGGGGGGGGGGGCGCTGCACACTGAAGGTTTTTTACCTTCATGCATAGAAAACCTTTACCCTTTACAACCACTTTAATGATTGCAACTGTTAAAATAAGTTGATAAAACAATGCCAGGATATACCCTCTATCTCCTCTTGTACCAAATTATATTGTAAACGTCTACCTTCATTTTGTAAACTGCTGCACAAACTGTTGGCACTATATAGATCCAGAATAATAATAATATACACAGTACACAATACAGAAAAGACAAGCATGTGTCCACAGTATATATTATGGTAAGATGAACACCGCTAGTTAGCTATAATAAACATGGTACACTTACAACAATGATCTCCATCGGAATTGGAACAGGCAACTTCTTTTTAAATCGATCATTAATTTCCTTGGCACCCAGCAGTAATACCACACATATCAGGCCAATGATCAGTGCGGTAACATTGGTCATTGTGATATTAGACAACACACTGACTAAGCTCTGAAACAGACACAGAAGATTTACATAATTTAATGTTAGGTAAGTCAAAGTTTTGTCTACTCAGGTTAGGAAAATTTCTCAAAGCCAATCCCATTCATTTATTCCATTAAATTACATGCAGTAAGTGAAAACAACAACCTAAATATACAAAGCGCATCTTAAAATCAATCCATCCTCTGACAGTTCATTCACTAACACATTACATATGTGTTATATAGGAACAAAAAAAAAAGGAAAAAACATCACCAAAAACCCTGTTCTTGTATGTGCTGGCCTTTTTGAAGTGAATAATGCATTAAAAGTTTCCTTCCTGTCAGTGGAATGTCCTCTATTCATTGTGTAGACCTCTAATTGCAGCAGGACCCCTTGGCTCCCTGTAGAAGGAAAGCTGTCAATGTGAAAGCTCTCACTGCTAATTTAGTTGGCTGGGAAATATATCCAGTGGGCATAAGGCAGCCATCTAACTTCAGCACACACAGTGAATAAAGCTGCAAATAGTCAAGTTACCAATCTAAAAGTGAAGACAGACATGGCCTCCTCAGCATTTTAAGAAACTGCATTCTACATACATAGATAAAGGTATTTCATGAATAGTCAGAACTAATTTTTGCAGAACATTACAAGATAATGCATCAACTATAGTGCTTCTTCTGTTCTGAAGTTAAACCAGCCATTTCAACATATTTATACAAAATTGATAGCAACTATGGATAAGCTTTCAGGTTCAGGTCAATCATTAGTTGGACCTGAACCCAAGCGGTTTGCAATTCCATCAAAGGGCAAACTAAATGGCCAGATTTGGTCAGTTCTTCTGCCTACCCTGAACCTCCATCGGCTGTAGCTGGTAGTCATTTGTTTAAAATTAAAGCAATTTCTGGACTCCCATCAGTTTTTACAAATTGTAAACAAGCCAGTAGGCAATCTGGGATTTACATCACCCATGAACCCCAGCCAGTTTGTTGATATTCAGCAGCCAGCTGGGGAACTGTTATTTGTAATGGGAGTTTGACGGGAGAGGATAGCCGTGGTGTGGCTCATTGCATTTGTGTGTCAACCATTGTGATTGATAATGGATATATATAACTGGACAACAGGACTGACTTTGGGTTTTCATTGTGGGACATTTTTCTTTTAAAAAAAATAAATAAATAAATAAAAAAAAAAAAAAAAGTTTCTACTGTGTATGTTTTTTTGTGAATTAGTAACAAGGGTTACTATGTACCCCATTGTTCATTCACACAGGCACCCTGCCCCCAATGCTGAGGGAATGTGGCCTGGAAGGGAAAGGATGGGGGGGGGGGGGTGCATGCTCACTGCCCCTTCCAGGATAAGGGTCTGATATGGATTTTGGAGGGAAAGCCACACAACCAGACACCCATCTAGGACCAGAGTGCAGGGTATGAAGGGGGGAATCCACATAGCTTTTTTTCTGCAGTACATGTGATCTGGTAGGTTTCGGGGGGGGGGGGGGTGACACACGTCACTGCCCCTCTTTTCTTTCCCACCAAGGCTTCATATCCAGATAAGGTTATGGTGTGGAGGGAAAAAAAAGTCTGCGGTCTATGTAAAAAATCCATACGTACCGGTCACTTATCTTAGATAGGGACCTAGTATGGATCTCACAAAAAGAGAAAAAAAAAAAAAAAAAAGGCACGGAGTCCACCCAAAGCTCTATCAGAACCTTATCAGAGCATGCAGTCTAGCTGCTCCCTGTTGATGGGGACAAGAGCCTCATGCCCACTTCCCTGGCCTGGTGGATGTGGGGGGTCTGTGGGTGGGACTTATTAGAATCTGAAAGCCCTTTTTAATACAAGGCAGCATCCAGAGATCCAGCACTCCCTCCAACATGAATGACTAAGTGGTACACAGTCCCCCTTGATACTCATTCACAAAAAAGAAAAAAAAAAAAAATCACCATAGACATTATGAAAAGGTCCTTCATTAAAATAAATAAAGAAATAAAAACACTATCGTTCAATGTAATTCCAATTCATATCAATGATGTCATCCAGCGATGTAGAATCATCAAATCACAATAAGTAACGCCCAAATAATGCACTAACCTGACAATCCACTCCCCCACAAAAGACAGCTCCCAGGGCGACTGTTGTATGCCATCAAAATGGTCAGGATGTTGGCAGTCATTGACCACATTCACATGATAAAAAAAACTGCAGGGTTTGGATCATTTTTTAAATTAAAAACAAAGACAAAAAAACCCTCATGTACTCATGGGTCAGCAAAATACAAGTTAAAAAAAAGTTTAAAAACATTTTAACCACTGCCTGTCCGGACACTTTTACCCCCATCCTGTCCAGGGCAATTTTCAGCTTTCAGCACTATCACACTTTGAATGATAATTGCGCAGTCATGCAACACTGTACCCATATGAATTTTTTACCATTGTTTTGAGACAGATAAAACTTTATTTTGGTGGTATTTATTCACTGCTGGGATTTTTATATTTTTTTTGCTATGTAAATGCAAAAGTCCAAAAATTTTGAAAAAAAAAGTGTTTTTCTTAAAAAATTTTGCAAATAAATAATATTTCATCATAAATCCTGGCCAAAATTTATTCCGTTATCTTTTTAGTAAAAAGAAAAATAAGCCAAATTAGTTTATAACCAAAAATTATAATTTTTAAACTTTTTTTTTACATTTTTATTTATTTATTTTTTTTTACATACTGTCACCCTAGCACTACAGTGTCACCATGGTGACACTGTACTACTTGTGGGGGGTGATGAAGATTTTTTTTTTACACTGATTGCTTTTACACCCATATAGGATGTAAAAGCAATAATTTCTCTTTCTCTCTGTCTGCATTCTTGCAGCCATTGAGAACTACTGAGTGAGCTGTGATTGGTCACAGCTTGTAACATGGTACAAGGCTGTTGTGAATAGCCTTGTACCATGTGACCTCTCTGATCATTCATAGATTTCACACATAGTAAGCAATGATGTCACAAGTGACATCTTGCTTACTACTTTGCATGTGATCACTGATTGGCCAATCAGCGATCACATGATCAGGACCTCGTACAGAAGTCCTGTCCAACGATTGGTGTCTCACTGTGTCCGGAGGACACAGCGGGCACCGGATCGTGGTGCTGCGCGCTCCCAGGGAGCGCGCACAAGCAGGGTGCGGGGAGGCCGTTTATAAATGGCCACCCGACCCTGCAGTGCCACCGTCCGGCCGTTTATATACAACGGCCGGACAAGAGGTGGTTAAAGCCCTTGCCCATTGCTGAAAATATACAGGGTGGTAGCCTGATGTACACTTTTGTCCTCCTTTGACAGACTGGTATGAGTGCGGAGATCACTTTTCTATTTTGTTCTTGGAAAAGAAGAAGAAGTCAACACCAGCACAAATTAGGCTATAATCCAAGATGGATAGATGAATATCCCCACTGGCATTGAATCAGGTTGGACTGGTTCTCTCACAGTTCAGAATCCCACAATTAGATTACATTCTTTTTAAACTGAAATATCTTTGCAGATTCAACTGAAAGGTGGAGACAAAAACACCAGTGACAACCAACAGAACACATTAATAAATCACTTACGTATATGACTGCCAGAGGTCCACTGTATCTCCTCGTCTTAACACCAAATAGATATTTTAACTGAGAAGTAAAGACATGTACTGCAGCTGCTGTGGTGAATCCTCGTACCAAAGGTTCAGTCAGGTAGATGGCTACAAAGCCAAATCGAAGTATGCCTAGACACATCTGGTAACAATATACAACATTATTATACAAATGATCAAATAAAGCTTGTTTTGTGATAGCTGTTGAAGTGCTTGTAATAGCTCAATGCAGACTGGAAGCTAGGTGAAGATTATGTTGGCAAAGCCAATATAGCTGATCAGAGTTATATCAATATAATGTACTCAGAGCCAGATTTATCATTAGGCACAGTGGACTGCAGCCTGTAGGCAGCAGAGGCAAACAAGGACTGTTTTTCCCTGTGTAATTATTGGCCATGCATTTCCCCCAACATCAGTAAGAAGTCTTACTTACACATTATCACAATGTTGTAAGACAGGTTAGCACCAGGATAGCAATGTTCTCTGTAAAAGAGGGGTGTTTAGTCAGAGTGCCAACAGTTGTGCGGCTACAACTATGACACTTTGTAAGGGATAAATAATTTGGAGTTTTCACCTCCAACATACCAGAAATACAACATTGAAGGTATCTGGGAGTTCATGTGCATGCATTTACTTTGTAAATTGTACTGAATCTAGGAATCAGTTTGAATCACATTACAATTATCTATGGACAAATGTGCAGAGCCTTTTTTTCCTTCTACAGCTTTAGTTAAATTACTTACCCGTAATGGAGCAAGTCCCAAGTATGTCTACATAGACGGTAACATGATCTGTGAATGGGGAAGAGGACCCGGTAACTGACCAGATTCTCCTCGTTCACAGATCGTGTTACAGGCAGCGTGATCAGTAAAAGAACTTTTCTCAATTGAGGAGAGGGTAGAAGGGGGCATATCGCTTTCAGATCATCTTTAGTGCCACTAAACTCAAGAGACCCAGAGCTGTTAACCCCCACACTGCCAGAAGTGCCACTTAAAGCAATACTATAAAAGGCAAAGTTTTTTTTGCTTTTTTTTAAATAACAAACATGTCATACTTACCTGCTGTGTGCAGTGGTTTTGCCCTCTTCTCGGGTCCCCCGCCGGCGCTCCTGGCCCCTCCTTCCTGTTAGGTGCCCCCAGAGCAAGCAGCTTCACATAAGGAGCTGTGGCTCGACCCTGCCTCCTCTCTCTCCTCATTGGCTCACTGGCTGTGATTAACAGCCAATGAGGAGGTGGACTCCCCAGAGAGCCAAGGCTTTCATGCACATCACTGGACCACGATGGGGGTCAGGTAAGTATTAGGGTGGGCTGGGTGGACTGCTGCACACAGAAGGTTTTTTTTACCTTCATGCACAGAATTCGTGAAGATGAAAAACCTTCAGCCTTTACAACCACTTTAAGGGAGAGGACAGAGCAGCCCTGCAGTGAAGATTTATACAGAAGCCAGCAGCTTGCACATCATGGGACATCTTTTATTACAGGTAAGTAAAGTAAAAAAACTAGAGACTGTTTTTTGTTTTTTTTTTTAAATTACACTTCAGCTTTAACAAAGGATTCTTTTTTAGTGCGTAAACCGACACGTCCATATATCTCAATGAATAAAATGTATATCAGAGTCTCTCTTTAAAAAGTGCAAAAACTCCACATCTTTCTATACTTTGAACAGCAATCACCACAGTCACAGGATTATAAGGTGCATTTATGCTTCCATTTTTTTTTTTTTTTTTCCAAAAAAGTTTTATTGAATATGCTTCCATTTTTCCTTATTAGTCACAATTTTTGATAAAGTGCAAAGTCCAGCAACCACAAAGAACAGCTGTGCCTTAATGTGAATCTGTCCCAGGGATATCTTCACATTCAGTGTTGTGCCCCCATGTGTGCTCTGCCAATAACACTCCACCTTTATTGGACTGGCACTCACTTTTTGTCTGACTTCAACATACAGTCCATTAGTGAGGTCTCTTCATCAGCCTGATGAGGCTGTGATGGCATAATGTGTCACACTAATGCATGCGGGGGAATTTTTGCACTTTTAAAGGAAGTCATGGATACAATTTATATAAAATCACATTAATTTATTGACATAGGAACATATCAGTTTATTATTTATTTATTTCAGGTACTTCTATAGCACTGTCAATTTACTCAGCGCTTTACACATATATATATATTGTACATTCACATCAGTCCCTAACCCTCAAGGGGTGTACAATCTAAGGTCCCTAACTCACATTCATACATACACATATTAGGGCCAATTTAGACAGCATCCAATTAACCTACCAGCATGTCTTTGGAGTGTTGGAGGAAACTGGAGCACCCGGAAGAAACCCACGCAAGCACAGGGAGAACATGCAAACTCCATGCAGGAGGCGCCATGGTCGGGAATCGAACCCATGACCCATTTACTGCAAGGCAGACGTGCTAACCACTAAGCCACTGTGCTGCCCTAGTTTATGCACTAGAATGTAATCACACAGTTAAGTTTATTTACTTATTGGATTTTAATATTAAGATACATGTATATATGTTTTGTCATAATTTTCACATGGCATGTACATAGGGAAAGGAGGATGCACTCTTCCCTATAGATAATTTGCAAAAAAAAAAATTTTTCTAGAATAAGTGGTGGCTGCTAGAGTTAGAGCACAGAAAGAATTAGCGCAAACTGATCTTGAAAGAGACAATTTCATATATTACAAGAGGTAAGGAGATATTAAAATATAAAGTCAAGAACAAAGCAGTAAGACACAATGCCCTATGACTTGTATTATGGATGTCATTTCAAACTTATCACAGTTAATATAAAGTGCATTGGCTTTTTGTAACACTCAGAGAGGTATGATGTGTGTTGATTCAGTATGTGGAGGTACTTCTAACTGGTCATCATAATGTAAAACAGAGAACTTTAAAAATACGAATTAGGAATGTAGGTGAGGATTTGAGTAACATAAAACAAGCCTCATCTGTCTTCCCATCAGCAATACGTTTGCAGTGCATCTATAAACAGGCAGAAATGTGTGGTACTACAAGGCTACATTGTGATCCTCCAATAAACTAGGCATAGATTGTATGCAAGGAGTTATTTTCTACATTCAGTGCTGTGTCCCATTAGCCTTTAGATTATACACAATTATCAATAGGAATGTCTATACACTGTAAAATAGAAAAAAAGGTACCTGAATTAGACCACAAATTAAAGTAATTGCAACGGTTACTTTCACTCTCATTGCATCCCTTGCTTCAATTTTCTCTAGGTAATCTGTGCTATTTGTGACATTGGTTTCCACTATATGAAACATCTCATCTGGGGCAATTCGTATTGCGACCCCACCAATCATTAGACTGATCACTGCAAAGGTACCTGCAAGACAACATTTTTTAATACACTAATGTACTTATGCCAGAATATATAATAATGGAATTAAAGTAGCCTATACATTGAGGCAGTCATACAATGCTACAGTCAAACTCTCCCACCTTCCAGCCTCCTGTTTGCTTTCTCTTCCAATACGTGCTTATATACAAACACTGTCACTTCTTTGATTGCGAATGTATAATTTCCTAACAATCCTAATTATTTCCTTGTCCATCACTTTTCGCTGTTAAAAGTCAGACACAGGAATCTGTATGAATGAATTAATACGTCAATAAATGTGGTTCTGGTTTTTAACTACCGTCTACAATGCGCATGTTGCAATTTATTTCTTTTTAATCAGTGTAAAGGAAAAAGGAGTGGTATTGCCTATATTATCTAATGGAAGTTCTAATTTCCTAAACTGCACTAGATTAGATTGCTTTAATCACTGCTAGTATTTGTTCAAAGGAACATAAATCTTTGTGTTCTAGCATCTCAAGGTTCCAACAGAATGTGTAGGGCTGAGATTGTCTGAAAGAACACACCACATATCACCACAATACAGTGACAAGGGTGGGTCTCATGTTTGAAAAATGCAACTTTAAAAATGTGTTTTACTTCCCCTCCAAGACAAATAAGTTGTGGGTGTGCCATACATCAGGTTATCTTCAGATTCATTCAGTTCCTGGTACAGGACAAAGAGAGCTCTCAGGATTAATATGAAACTCCTACTGGTGTCCCTCTGACTCAGCTACATGAAAAGCTAATACAAGCACAATCACTGTTTATGAAATGAATCTAGTAAGTTTATGTGATCATAAATTCTGGGATGGGATGCATCTTTGCTGTATTACACTTGGCTCAATAGGACATTGATCAAGGCTAGACCGTGTTTGTAATATTGCCAAAACAAAGTTTAAAAATAAAAATGAATCTAATTGCGGATTTGGTATGCATTAAAATAAGACAGCATGAATTAAATTAACACTTTTTTCCACACTCATCAGGAAAGTCAAACGTGTTTTAGCTTTGCATTTCACAATTTAATTAAATGCTATTCGGTGTTAAAAGTGCATGTCTGACAATGCTCTTTATTTATTTTTATGAATTAAAATGCTTGTGTGCAATAAAACCATAAACAATAAACCAATAACAATAAACCATAGTTGGATAAAATAACATACCATTGAAAAGGTTTGTTTACATTTTTCCTAATGTTTTATTACCGTCATAATGAACCTATACATTCTCTAAAAATGTGGGGATGCCATCTTCACCAAACATTTGTGACCCACTTTGCTCAGTCATCCTCTGAAGCTAGGATCATCTTTCATCAGCTGCCTTCCTCTTCATGTAAACGCTAGTCCTGCCCTTAGGAATAAACTTATGTATGATGACAGCTGGTAAGCAGCATAATGACCTCTAAAAAGTCAGTGAATTATGTCACCTGTCACTCACATTGGACACCTAAAAAATTCCAGAGAACATGGGTTCTAAATTGCCTGCACATCACGAAGGGAAAAGGGTGAGATTATGCAGGTCACACTGCATGGTTTTTCACCACAGGAAGGCAGCAAGGTAATTGGCACGATATAAATATACAGTCAATCAAAAATATTTCTGTTCATAAAGAGGATTGTAACCATGGAAAATTGTGTTACCTTAGTACTAGGAGTTATATTTATTGCTAAAAGTATTATGAAGTAAATGCCGATTATCATATCACCCAGCACTCCTCCCTTGCACATGGAAAAAAAAGGCAATGTGTGTAATGTCCTTAACATTCCCTGTTCTAGAACTGGCACATTCATGCTATCTTCATGATGTTGTGCAATTCTCTTGTTTGTTACAGTCAAATAAAAGAGAAAAGCAAAAGATTAGCTAATAGGTACAGATATCACACATTTATCCACTACTTCCTGCCTAGCAGATGCCATGAATCTATTCTACCAAGGTAACGGCTGATTAGCTATCACTGCATCTGCTCTATGAAATTAGTCTTGTATAGTGAAAGGCACCTAATATAGTAACATTATTAGGTCAAAAAATAAGAGTAAAATCAATATTTTCTTTTCTAACGTATGGCTAATAAGCAGGAAGATACAGTATCTCCCCAAGACAGATAGGCGGGGAGAAATCTGTCCATCATGCACCATAGGACATACGTTTATTCTCACCTGAAAGGTACAGCATGGCACAAACAGTATTTATTTCACTCACTGAAGAGTAAGGCTCCATGCACACTGGCTTAAAAAAGTGCCAGTTTTCTTGAGTGGTTTTTGCACTAGCGGTTAGGAGGGTTCAGCAGCATTTAGAAGCCTTTAACTGCCATAAAAATGCTCTCAAAAATGCAAAGCAGAAGCGTTTTTTTTTTTCCTGCCTGAGATATAACAAAAAAAAAAAAACACCTCTAAAAACTACCTAACGTGCATGGACACATAAGGTAACAGTTACATTTTACAGGCAAATGCTAAACTGCTCTGGAAGCAGCGTACTTTTTTTTTTTTTTTAAGCAGTGTGTATGGAGCCTAATGCAGGCCATAGACGGGTCGTTTATCGGCCGAATTTTCATCCGCACGAAAAATTGGCCGATGTTCAAGCCGTTAGTGGGGCAATGCCGTCGGCCGTTTTTTGTGGATCTTCTCGTTTCTTTTTATCGGTCATGCTGGAAAATCCATGAAAAATGGCCGTTTTTTGTAGACTTTGGTGGCAGCATCGGCAATGAGCGATTTTTCATTTATCGGCCGATAAATGGCCCTTCTATGGCCAGCTTTAAAGGATCAAAACTGCTTGTAATATCCTGTACCTTCCCACAGTACAGAAAAAAAAAAAGAAGCACCCAAGATTTCTAGTTTCTATTGTTCAGTTGATGATACTATTCTATAGGTGTACCCCAGATTAAGTTAAAGCTAAACTGAAATGAGACAAAATTAAAGTTACGCAGTTCTGGGAGAACAGAATGTTCGTGTTTGTTGTGCCAAATATATGAATCCTCGGCTTTTAAAATAGCTTTTGGGTGTTAAGTAGTAATGACACTGGGGCTTTTGTAGTGGAGGAGGGAATGAGATTTTCAAAAATATGGGGTCTTTCTATTTGCAAGACTACTGGTTCCTCAACAGACAGAAATCTAGATAAATGCAGTGGGAGTAGAACAGGAGAAACAGAGGAGGCAAACATCCATATCAAGGTCCATTCTATATACTCTTTATGGACAGTATTTTGTCTGACTTTTTATGGAAGTTTACCAATCACTCAAAAAAGCAAGCAATGATTAGAATTTTGGTCATCCCTTCATATTGCTGGGCAGTTTGTACTCTTGAATATCTCAGAATGTCACAGGTGCTCAGTCTTGAAGAAATCTCTGTACAAAAATAAGCACCAAGACTGACCAAGGGGGTTGATTTACTAAAACTGGGAGTGTGCAAAATCTGGTGCAGCCTCTAACTTCAGGTTGCTCAATTACAGCGGAGTTCTAGCTGAAAAAATAAATAAATAAATAAAAGTCAGCAGCTACAAAAGCTGTAGCTGCTGACTTTTAAAATACAGCCACTTACCTGTCCCCCCGTCCAGTGGTGTCCTCACCACCGCTGGTTTCATCGGCCATCTTCTCTCCCTCGGGCTGGCATCTTCAGTGTGGGCACCCTGCTGTGACAGCTTGCGGCTTCACAGCCGGGTGCCCACTGCTCGAGAAGCCTGGGCTTTGTGAATGGCCCCGTAGTCTTCTGGGACCTGTTACATGTCCCAGAAGAATATGGGGGGGGAGGGAGGACAACTTCCGCTTCCGATTGCCTAGGTGATCGCAGCGGAAGTGGGAGCGGGTACCTGTCAAATTCGGGTACCCACTCTCCAAAGGTGCCAATACTTAATGGGGAGCGGGGGACAAAGCATTAAAGCGGAACGTCCCCTTGTGGGTGGAGCTCCGCTTTAAGCTTTGACAAAAAAAAAAAAAAAAAAAAAAAACCGGAAGAGGACTTATTTCTATACAGAGCTGCACTGGATGTTGCACTGTCCAGTTTTAGTACATTAACCCCAAAAGTATTCAGATTATTTATATATTTATCATAGGTATTCAGGGCTGACAAATTATGCAGTGCTTTACATACTCCACTTTCACAGCAATCCATACCTTCAAAAAGCTTACCAAGTGCTGCAAGACAAAAGTGCTAACCACTAGACCCCTGTGCTGCCCTGTTATGATAAGAACTTAGCATATCACAAAATTACATGATTGAAATACCTATTGATATGTGTCTTGATGTTCCAAAGAAGGTATACAGGAACACTGGATAAAATGAAGAATATAGTCCAAACACTGGCGGTACAGCTGCTAGCAAGGCATACGCTAAACCTAAAAACATATTAAACACAAACATTTGTAAACAAGAAGGCACATTCATCTGAGTCTAAGTGGTATTTATTTAAAGAAAGACTCATTACTCTTTTTTTGCTGCTGTATAAAAGAGATGGTAAAAAAAAATTATTTAAAGAGTAAAGAATTTTTACAAGTAAATAAAGCTCTACCAAATCCCATATCATAGGTGCTCACTATTTGGTGAAAAAAAAAAAGAAGGATTAAAAAGAAGAAGATTTAACCTTTTTGACAGCTGATCAACTGAAGTAGGGGTTTCTATTCAGTGATTTTTGACATTTACTGTATACATTGTAGTTAGCAACAGCTCTTAGGAGAAGCTAATTGCAATGTATCTTTTTTTCCTTAACCCCTTCCCGCTGCCCCCTCACAACCCTTTAAGAGCTTTTAAATGCAGAGAGGTGGAGGCAGGCATTTAGGTCATGTGATTGCTGTGATTGGCTGTCACATGATCAGAAAGCTAATATGCTTCAGGAGCTTTCTGGTCCCCGCCGGTGTCTGTGCTGGGAGTACAAAGGGCACATACTCTCAGCACAGCAGAGTTGTTTATTTTGGGCAGCATATATGTGGCCTCTCAGAGTTTAAGCCCACCCGCCAGAAGGCCGCATATATGTGCCATGTCGGCAGAAAGAGGTTAAATCAGAACTAAACCCATCGGTTTAACAGTTTCAAAAAACTGTTACACATCCTGCACATGCCAGGAATGCTGTCACATTTGCTTGTGCTCTCAACCAAACTGTCAAACCACGAAATGGCTGGAGTCATAACTGATCACATGTGCACCACCATGGCAGCTGAAGATCAAACAGGGGCTAAGATGGCTGAAAATGATAGGATGGTTTAGTTCTGCTTTAAAACTGGTTAACCAGAGAAGATAGACCAAAAACTCAGTCATACATGGTTGCTCTTCTGGCCACAGTGAAAGTTTTCTAGGATTCCACATAAACAACATTATGGCTTTTGACAGTTATGTTATACTAACCTTGGGGGAGCTGCATGACCCCTGTGCTCAGGCCTGAAATGATATCTCCAAGGAGATACTCTTTCACTGGGTACCGTGGCAGCCATTTTAAGATTGGAAGAAAGTTGTACAGCTGAGATTTTGCCTTCTTAGTAGTACACCTATAATGCAAAACAGAAATATATTAGCACTACAAAACAACTTCTGCTTGTCTGTCACTGAACGTACATACAGTATATAGGACTGGAATTTGTTTATTTAAAGCACACCAAACTAAAGAGGAAAAACAAATAGTAACATTTTACAGGTGTAGCATTACCATTGGCCAACTTCTGTAACTTGGGTAAAAAGTCAACTCAAAAAAAACACCACGTGAGTGAATGTTTGCATGCAGCCAATCACTATATATGAAGCTATTTAGGACCTCAGCACTCATATCTCCATTTCTACTACATGATGCAGAACGGTAACTAAAAGAGCAGGGATTCCTGAAGTTGCTATATTACTAGCTATAAAGTTATATTTACTGTGCTGTAACCCCCTTCTGATAGATAGAAAAACTGTGACGTGTTCATACTTTTTCTAAGTAAATATATTTCCAAAATGTGCTATTGACATGAAATTTTTACCAGGTCGGTAACAACCCATGCAATCCATACATACAAAAACCAAAACAAATATGTTCAGAAATTAAAGTGTTACTAAGCCCATCACCCTGCATTCACTATATCTATTCTCCCGCAGTATATAGAACATGGAAATGCAATTATTTTATTAGATATAAACTGCTAAATATCTTTTCTGATCAGCAGTTAGAGCAGTCTTGTGAGTTCTATTAGTTTCCAGCAGAGCCAGTTAATCGTGTAGGAGGAATTTTCATTTTGCTCTAGGAGGATGCAGAACGCCTGACCTCTGTCTGGACAGTGCTGATCACATGCACTCTCCCAAGGAAAAAAAACAAAACACCTCTCTAGCATTACACACCAAACTGAGCATGTACAAAGTGACTCCACAGGATATGTCTTATCAGGAGATAAGAAGGGGGCACTGGAAGAAAAGGAGGATCAGAGAAGTCAGGATCAAACAGCCTTTTACACAATGCAGAGGATTAATCCTTTAGGTTCCACAGCGATTATAACAAGCAATCTTTACTGCATATACAGTTCATTTATTTCAGTAATGCAACTTAAAAGGTGAAACTAATATACGAGATAGACTCATTACATGCAAAGCAAGATAGTTCAAGCTGTGATTTGTCATAATTGTGATGATTATCACGGCTTGAACTATTTTGCTTTGCATGTAATGAGTCTCATAATTAGTTTCACCTTTTAAGTTGCATTACTGAAATAAATGAACTTTTGCACGATATTCCAATTTTTAGAGTTTCACCTGTTATAATCACTGTGGAACCTAAAGGATTAATTATCTGCATTGTGTAAAAGGCTGTTTGATCCTGACTTCTCTGATCCTCCTTTTTTTTCCAGTGCCCCCCTCTTATCTCCTTCGCCTCACTCTTTATGGCAAAGGCAGCAACAAGGTGCAAAATGAAGGCAAAAACTGAGGGGCTGGCCTTTAAGTGGGCAAAAGTACAGGTCGACTTTAAAGGGCAGGTGTTTTTTGTTTTTTTTTTTTTTAAACCCTCTGCAGTGCTGTATTTGTCAAAACTCTCAAGCAGTAATGACACCCCTTTTCAAACAAATTGAAGTTCTTTGTGATGGCCGAGCAATGTTTTACAGTTGTGTCCAAAATTATTCAACCCCCAATGCTGTAAAGGGGTTTTAGGGACTATAGTGTACATTTGGAATTGTATTCAGAATCAAATCCTACAAGGACGTTGTAACTACCCAAATGCAACTAAAATGACATCAATTGTTTTATGTAATACAGTAGTAAATGGTTCTTATGTGGTTTCTTCATTGCCACAATTATTCAAACCCCTTAAAGACTACCACTCTGAAGAACAGAGGTTCATACAGGTGCTTTCCATCAGGTATTGAAAACACCTGTGGATGTCACCGAGCAGCAATCAAGCATAATAAGCACCAATTAGGCAGCTTTAAAATGACTGTGATACTCAGCTCCTTCTAGACATTTACTGGTGTGGTTACAAACATGGTGAAGGCAAGAGAATGGTCCAGGAAGACAAGAGAAGAGGTGATTTCTCTTCACAGGAAGGGCAATGGCTATAAGAAGATTGCAAAGATGTTAAAAACATACCAAGAGACACCTTAGGAAGCATCATTCGCAAATTCAAGGCAAAGGGCACTGTTGAAACGCTACCTGGTCGTGGCAGAAAGAAGATGCTGACTTCGACTGCTGTGCGCTACCTGAAGCGTAGAGTGAGAGAGGAAGTCCCCGTGTGACTGCTGAGGAACTGAGAAAAGATTTGTCAGATGTTTTCAGCCCAGACAATAAGACGCACACTGCGTAATGAAGGCCTCCGTGCCAGAACTCCCAGGCGTACCCCCTTGCTGTCTCCAAAGAATAAGAAGAGTCGACTGCAGTATGCCAAAAGCCATGTGGACAAACCACAAAAGTTGTGGGATAGTGTTCTGTGGACTGATGAAACAAAATTAGAACTGTTTGGGCCATGGATCAAACGCTATGTTTGGAGGAGGAAGAACAAGGCCTATGATGAAAAGAACACCTTGCCTACTGTGAAGCATGGTGGGAGGGTCAATCATGCTTTGGGGCTGTTTTGCTTCTGCAGGTACAGGGAAGCTTCAGCGTGTGCAAAGTACCATGAATTCTCTTCAGTACCAGGAGATATTGGATGGAAACGTGATGCAGTCCGTCACACACCTGAGGCTTGGGAGACGTTGGACCTTTCAACAGGACAATGATCCCAAGCATACCTCCAAGTCCACTAGAGCATGGTTGCAGAGGAAAGGCTGGAACATTTTGGAGTGGCCATCGCAGTCACCAGACTTAAATCCGATTGAGAACCTCTGGTGGGACTTAAAGAAAGCAGTTGCAGTGCGCAAGCCTAAGAATGTGACTGAACTGGAGGCCTTTGCCCATGAAGAATGGGCGAAGATACCCGTAGATCGCTGCAAGACACTTGTGTCAAGCTATGCTTCACGTTTAAAAGCTGTTATAAACTGTAAAAGGATGCTGTACTAAGTACTAAGATTGAATGTCACTTGGGGGTTGAATAAAACTGATAATGCTGTGAGCACAGAAAAGACATTTGTGGTTATTCATTATAACTGTTATGTTATATTTGTCTGACCTACAAGTGCCTCTTTAATGTAAATGTAAGCAAGATGACTGAATGATCAAAAGCAATGTCAAAACTGGCCAAAACACTCAATTTCAGTGGGGGTTGAATAATTTTGGACACAACTGTATATCTTTTTAGTGTTTAGTATAACCATTGGGCATGTATCATGCCACAATTTAAACCCCTATTCAATTAGCGCAACACATCCTGAAATAATATAACAGTGCTCTAAATAGTTGCTGCTAAAAACACTGTTGGTGACTTCACAACACCTGTACCAAAATGAATAACAAAGTGTAGCGCAACAAAACTAATATAAAAAAAACCTCAATAAAAAAAAATAAAGTAACATGAAAAAGTCTCTTGTAACACCCCTGTGCAATGTGTATAAGATAAATCTTCTCTCTTCTGAACTATACATTAATTACATGGTTAGTCCGGCTGAAAATAGACAAAAGTCCATCCAGTTCAACCAATAAAAAAAAAAAAAAAAAAAAAATTATAATCCTACACCCACAAGTTGATCCAGAGGAAGGCAAAAAACCAGCAAAGCATGATCCAATTTGCTCCTGCAGGGGAAAAAAAAATTCCTTCCTGATCTCCTGAGAGACAATTTGATATTCCCTGGATCAACTTTACCTATAAATGTTAGTAACCAGTTATATTCTGTGTATCTAAGAAAGAATCCAGGCCTTTTTAAAAGCAATCCACTGAACTAGCCAGAACCAACTCTTGAGGGAGTCTATTCCACATTTTCACAGCTCTCACTGAGAAGAAACCTTTCCGTGTTTGGAGATTAAATTTATTTTCCTCCAGACGTAAAGAGTGCCCCCTTGTCCTCTGTGATGACCTCAGGGTGAATAACTCTACACCGAGTTCACTATATGAACCACTGATGTATTTATACATGTTGATCATATCCCCCTAATCTCCTCTTCTCAAGAGAGAATTTAGTTCCTCTAATCTTTCTTCATAGCTGAGCTCCTCCATGCCTATTATCAGTTGGTTGCCCTTCTCTGTACTTTCTCCAGTTCCCCAATTACTGAGGATATCAGAACACTGGGTGATGTACTGCTGGCTATATGGAGGATAGACAGTGGGAACTTTACCACTGGTCTGCAGTATCTCAAGTTTGCTCTGATATTTAGAAATTTTACCATAAAGGTGCAATCAGCCACAAAACGTTGATTACAGTCTATGTGTGCAAGATCACATAGGATAACATGCTGGGGGGTTTACTAGCTGTAAAAAAAAAAAAAAAAAAAAAAAAAAAACCGTCAAAAGCCAAAAACAGCAGCTATAAAATCGTCCAGTGTGCATGAGGACCCATTGATTTTAAGCGTTGCATAAATTAGTGGCGATATATAAAAGTACCTGTAATAAATAAATATCCCATCATTGTACCGTATGCATTGCCTAAATGAGCAAATTGATTGAAATGTTAAGAAATTCCCTCATCCAGTCATAATTACATGACTGCTACAGACGGATAAGCTGCATCCTGTGCAATGTGGTTATTAAACAAAGGTGTGTCCAACTGAACAAAGTTTCCATGGTGAGGATGAGATTAAAAGACACATTTAGAAGTGTAATTACGGCTTCTCGGCAGGGGATTATTCAGAAAAAAATCGAAGTCCTTTCTTCTACCCAATTTATAAAAATGCCAAGGTGCCTGTTTTTTATTGCAGAATAAGATTTTAGAACAAATTCTGAAAATGTATCATTTATTTTTCATTTACTTGAAGTGGTATTATATCCAAAACGAAAAATGTAATATATTGCAGCTTGCCAATCAGTAGACATGGTGGCTGCATTTGTTTTCTTTCTTTTTAGGCTTACCCCTCCCCCTCTGTTTTCCACAGGCTATCTAGCCAGTAATACACCTCTCGTAGTTCCCCCACTATGGATGAAGGAGCACAGGGGCACCTTTTGGACAGCAGCATTTTCAGTCTGGGGGTAGGAGAGTGTTAAGTCGGCCATAGACGGGTCAAACCTCAGGCAGCTCAGCAGGGACCGGCAGAATTTCAAGCCATGTATGGGCAAGCTGAATGCACCCTAGTTGATCAACCGGCCTAGTGGATGTTACATGCAGTTATTGCTAGGCGGCTATTGTAGCAGCTAGCAGTAATCACTGTGTCCTCCCGGAGGGGACGGCTCCCCCTGCCAGGAGAACACAACGGCTCCACGGGATTCCCCCATCAACACAGTGTTGATGGGGGGAACTGAACGATTTTCTTTTCTCCAACCCGTGGCTGCAGGAAAGAAAATCACACAGTCTATGGCCGGCTCTTGAGGTACTAGCAGATTTAGATACACTAACAAATTGAAGAACTCCAGCTCACGCTTTACAATCAGTTACAGCAGGTTTTTCTCCTTTTGGGATAAAGGTTTTACAAGGATATATAAAAGTTGATCATGGTAAATGCTTTGTCCCAACTTTCTAACTGCAAGAGAGCTTGTTCTTTTGAAAAACAACAGATTCACTGGCTGGTTCACCAGATGAAAATTAGAAGAAAAAAAGCCTAAAAAAAAAAAAACAAAACAAAACAAAAAAAAAAAACAAATGCAGCAACCGCATCTAAGAATTGGCAAGCTGCAAAATGATTTGCTTTTTAGTTTAATACTGCTTCACCAAATATTCTTGAATTCCCTGCACCAAGCACAGTCAATTAGATAACAGCAGAAAAAAAAAATATAGAATAATAAATATATAAATAAATAAATAAAACACACCGCGCTAAATGTGAGATAATTTATATCAAAAACATAATATAACTCAAGCCGTGACTGGAGGAGCTGCTATTTTAAATAAATACAAATTAAAGAAACATAAATAAGTGGAAAACCACCATAAACAGCGCTCACTAATGACATGCAATCCTCAAATGAATGTGAAATATAAAACAATAAAAATTCATATATAAATAATAGATTTAGCAAATGAATAAATAATAGATAACACTTCCACCAAAATAGTGAAAAAAGTGAAAAAATCAGTTCATATCAAAGTGAAATCCAAAATCTTTCTTTCAAGAAATATCCACCAAAACTGTGATCTCTCATGTGCACAACACCCTATCAAAGTGCAAACTCACCAGATGCTGGTGATTAATCAGCATTGAATCAGACACCAATAGATGTGGAGATTAATTAAACCAGATCGGCTCAGATGTAATAATGGTCACTCATCAAATTATTATTATTATTATTATACAGTATTTATAAAGCGCCAATAGTTCGCTCAGCGCTGTACATTACATGGTTAATCCAGCTCAGGCTCCATCAAGGTGAGTATTATTCAAATTCCATATGTGGGTAAATAAAGAACACTCGCCATTGCATAATACCGTTTAGAAATTTATTGCCAACAGATACCCCCTTGGACTAAAAACGCACATTGTATAAAAGTACAAAAAAGCATTCAGTAATAGGTGTAGCTGCAGTGAAACCGCTAGCTGATTTAGCCTCACCACCCGCTCTGTAGATTACAATAGCGGTCACATGGTCCAACCACGTGGTCGCGGCGTGCGTGGTGAAGTCACTGCTGATCACGCATCTCATTAGTGAGCGCGGTTTATGGTGGTTTTAAACTCATTTATAGATCACAGCAGAATCAGGATTATGATTATATCAGATATTCATAAATATACTGGCTGACCTGTCAGACCCTGTACACAACATATTCTAGTATTTTATCACTTTTTACAACATTGCAAGAAAACAACAGCCTCCCCCTAAAAAAATCATGTCACCCTCTCCAGTCAAGAGCCTGACATTTCTGTTGCCCAGGTGAAGGTATGGGAAAATTAGGAGGAAGGAGGTGTGTGTACATTGGTTAGGACAGGTACGTTAGCCACCCCCTGCCCCACCAATATGATACTTTACAAACTTTCCTTCTCATCTGTTCCCAAAACAAAGTTAAAAGGGGAAAAAAATTAAAAAAAATGAAGACACCACTATTTATTAGAAACATTGGTCTCTTGTGATGCGATCCTGTAGCTTCAAACTGTAAATGATTTCCGTTTAACCCTCTCCTTTTTTCCTATACTCTGATAGGGCAATTCATTTTGAGCCCTTTCGATACTTTATTCATTTTGGTAGAGGTGCTCCACAGTATGAATTGCAGAACTGGGAAGATAAAAGTGGAAAATGCTGGCTATGCAAAATATAGGAAAAGAGGGAATACATACACCATGCGCAAGTCTAAACCTAAACAGGAGAAAATTAAAATTAGGAAAAAAGTTTCACTTTCACTATAATCTTGCAGAAAAGCAGTACTGTACACTGAGAGGGATATAAGACTTCTTCAGGAGTCAACCCAAAAGGTGTTCACTTACAACAGAAACCTCAGTTTTGGGTGGTGAAGATCTTTAACCCCTTGATGCTGACGTAACACAAATATGCAGCCTCACAGAACTAAGCTTTTTTCCGTAGGGCCACATATTTGCGTTCCTGTCTGTGCTGGGAGCACGCCGCACGGCACAAACACCGCGGTGTCACTGAGAGCACTGGGTCACGTTCTAACGATCGGGACCTGGGGCTCCCGATTCCAGGTCACAAGATCGCTTTGATAGCCTCTGATTGGCTATCACAGTGATCAGTCACTGTACAGCCCGGCCCCCTTGTTTTTTTTTCCCCTCTCTCTATGAATGGAGGAGAGAGATACATTGGAAAAACAAAAAAAGAAAAAGATAAATAAATATTAAAAAATAATGAAAAAAATACCTAGATCAAGGTTTGATCTAGTTCAGTGCCAGGGTTAGTGTTTGGGTCAAGGTCCGGATTTTTTTTTTAAAAAGGCGTCAGTGTGTTTTAGGGAAAAAAAAAAAAAACAGACAAAAATGTGCACTATTTGTTTCTGGGCTGTACTACGGGTACAAACAACAAATAACATACACATATATGGTATTGCTGCGATTGTCAAGAGCTGGAGAATTTATTTTGGGTTGTTCTTTGGTGGTAGGTTATGGTAGTAGCAAGAAACACAGTTAAATTTTAAAAAAATTATTTTTTTTACAATTTTGGGCCAGTTTTCCTTTGATAAAAAAAAAAAAAAAAAAATTATAAAAAGGGAGATATCCATTACCATTTACCACCAAATGAAAGCCCAATTTGTCCTGAAAAAAAAACAAGTATAAAATTTACCTGGATGTACAAAGTAGTTGTGATGATATGTACGGTTTTACTAACACATGTCGACGTTGCAAAATTGTGCTTAGGCATTTAGATTTGTTTTACCGTTAGGCGTGAAGGGGTTAAACAACGAAGATGAAGAAGGGTTTACTCCTCTAATACTTAGTCAAGTATAGTGCTTTTTTCTGTAGTTTGATGTAGCATCATAGCGTGTAATGCTCCTAAAGACTATAAAAAGATTTAAAAAAAAAAAAAAAAAAAAAAAAAAAAAAACACCTGTCAAAGTAGAAATGTCTTACCTGCAAGATTGTGAAATTTTATGGAGGATAGACACTGGCTCTTTCTTCCTTTGGTGCAGATGTTCTTGGAGATATTCTTGTGTGCATATGGGCCGCTCTACACAGTACTTTTGTCTCTGACAAAGGCAGTCATCTTCCCCTGAAGCTAGTTCCATAGCACATTTCAGGTCTTCTGTTAGTATCTGCAAATCATTACAGGGCAAAGCTAGTTTTACTACACAATATGTACATACTTGCCTATGTTAATGATTACTGTATAATAAACAGATAGGCAAAAAGCCTATCCATCACACCTCACAATCACAATAGTACAATAACAGGATCATACTCATACAGATGTTTAGACTAGAAGGGAACAAAACAGAGAACAACAGAAAGAAGACTAGGCTCAGTTCAAATCTGTGTTTTAAGTGTGATGCAGTGTAGACCTGTTGTGCCTTTTAGCAGCATTTCTGACACATTACCACCAAACTCTATGTAACAGGCGTTTTGCTGAAAAATCAAGGATGCAGAAATCATGATGAACCTAAATGCATGCAGATGTAAACACAGCCAATATTGTCCTGTTCTTTATACTTTTTTTTTTATTTTAATCGCACTATAAGATTTTAAAACCTGACTCCAGCTTTCTGTCTTTTTAAATACGGTTTGGACCAAACTGGTCCAAAGAACGGTTACCTTCACGAACAGATACACCAGCTGTACAGTGTTCAGCGCTGTGGAATGGCACTGGGATGTGGACTGGAGTCACTGCTCAACCATTTACAGGAAGCTTCGTTTTCACTGAATAAATACAAAGCTTCCGCTGATTGGCTGAGGTGGAGATCGTGACATCTGTCCACCTCAGCTAATCAGAGGAAGCCTTGTATTCATTCGGAGAATTACAAAGCTTCCTGTGAATGGATGAACAGTGCGCAGCTGGTCTCAATTTTGCTCTGGGAGTGGGATGGGAAGTCCCCATTCTGCTGCCAGAGCACAGGGCTGCATACTGATGCTACATACAGTTTTTACAACTCTCACAGCGAGCGCATATGCTAGTAAAAAGGCTAGTCCAAACAAATGATCTTAAAATGACAGAAAGCTGTCCCAGCTTTGGCCAAAACTGTTACATACATAAAAACCTCTGTTGGGTTTGATTACGGTTTTTGTCCTCATCAAGGAAACCCAGTGACAGTAGACAGGAAGGGATAGTAAGGCTCTCCAATGAGGACAGACAGCAATAAAAATGATTTTTTAATGGAGTGGGAAAAAGACAGAAGAGACCCCTGCTCCAAGAAATGCAGGGAAAACACCCCTGTAGAGGCATCCACAGAAACAACAACAATAGATGTATTAATCCTTTTCCACTCTAACAGATTTGGATGGAGTTTGGCTTTAAAGTAGAACTGAACTCAGAAAGCAAACATTTGCTATGTTATAGGGTACATCTAGATGTGTTAATTGTTCCTCAGCAGTACCCTAAAAATTAGCACATTTTTTGTACATTTTCTGGTATTTGAGGGTGAATAGGAACTTCTGTGCCTACAGTCTAATAGATGTATATCTGTGTTAAGAATCTAATGCTCTTTTGCTTCTGACATCTAGTCTCGGGTGATCTGGAATGAGATTTGGTGGTGTCAGGGTGCTGCTCACAGTTCTCCTTGCTGGAGGCTCTGACGTGACAATGGCTGCAGGCAATTCTGGTGACTAGTCTTTTGCCTGCTTTTTGGGAACAAATCCCAGAGTTCAGTTCCTCTTTATGTAAAAGAAATCCAAATGGCATGACAGTCAGATATAGTCCTCATCAGATTGATAGTCTAGGTAACCACTCAGCAGGTTCTCAACCACTGGATTCCTTGCTTCAGCATACACTACTCACAACCTGAGGCCATAATCCGGGTTTATTTAATTTGTTTAAAATATTACTTTTTGTTGCCACAACTTTATACTTTTTGGATTTTTTTATGAAATCACATGAATTTTAAAATTCTATGGAGCACTAATTTATGAAAAGAAATGAATGTCAACAAAATAATTGTGTCTTAAAAGGGACAAACAGGCATTCATTAATAAGGTTTGGAACCACTGGCTCTTATTTGCAGGTGGCGGATACCTAGAGGAGGACTTCTGGTGGGGCGGCGTTGGATTCCTGGACGAGCAACATTCCTCCTCCTTTCCTCTTCTTTGTAATTTCTTCATTGAAATTTGTGTTCTATTTTTTGATTTGTAATCTTTACTTTACCTTATAAGAGAAGTACTATTGTTATAGGAATCTGAATACTTGACAGTCCTAGGGGGCTATAAGCATGCAAGTGGGATATACATGTGTCTAGCTACCCTACCGGTTACATTTCACTTTTTGATGTTGATTATAATCTAGAGGACTATCATTGATCTCAGTGTATTGTGGCTAGATGCAGGTTAATCTGATTTCTTAATAATTATTATTATAAATACAGGATTTATATAGTGCCAACAGTTTGTGAAGCACTTTACGAAATAAAGGCATCCATTATTGTTACAATATAATTTGGTACAAGAGGAATCAGAGGGCCCTACTCCTTAGAGCTTACAATCTAAGAGGGGGGGGTCAAGTGATACAAAGGGTAAAATAGCTTTGGCGAATGAGCTGATGGAGAAAGTAAAAAATGCGGTGTATTAGAAGCAGGACAGGCTTCTTTAAAGAGAAGTGTTTTCAGGGCTTGTCTAAAAGGTAGATAGATTAGGAGATACTAAAACAGATTGAAGTAGGGAATTCCAAAGGATGGGAGAAGATCAGGAGAAGTCCTGGAGGCAAGCATGGGAGGAGCGGACACGGGAACTAGAGAGCAGGAGGTCTTGGGAGGACCTAAGAAAGCGGTTTGGTTAAAATTTTGAGATCAAGTTAGTGTTGTAGCTGGGAGAAGAGTTGTGGATGGCTTTGTCAGTTGTTTTTGTTAGTACTTTGAATTTTATTTGTTGGGTGAGTGGAAGCCAGTGGAGGGACTGGCAGAGAGGGGTACTAGACACTGAACGGTTGGTAAGGTGGATGAGCCTGACAGCAGCATTAATAATTGACTGAAGGGGGGATAGCCTATGTAAAAGGTAATCAATGAGGAGGGAGCTGCAGTAGTTTAGATGAGATATAGGGAGTGAATTAGAAGCTTTGTGGGGTCATTGGTTAAAAAGGGGCGTATTCTGGAGATGTTGCGGAGGTTGAGGTGCCATGATTTGGACAGTAATTGGATGTGGGCTTGAAGGGATAGTTCAGAATCCAGGGTTACCCTTAGCAGCCCGATTTATGATTGATTTCTTGTGAGCCATTGTTGGCTTTTCTTGCTGACTGTCTTTGGTAAATTTTCTATTCCTCTTTTCCTTTGTAAAACCAATAAAAATAATTTAAACAGAAAAAGAATGTTAAGCAAATTGTCTACAATTGTTAGTACTTTCATGGGATGCAGCTGCTTAGTTGTTCCCTTACTAGTTATGATTGTGATTTGGCAAACACGTGACTACATACAGTAATACACTTCTAGAACTACAAAAAATATGTAAAAGGTGTTCTCCTTGTCAGCACTGAAAGTCCTTGAAAATAACAGGAAGTTGCTTATGTGTTTCCTGGGAGCTCAGAAGAGTTCTATCCTGCCATGTAGTAACTGCTGACTGCTAGTGTGCACACATTTACCCATTACATTCTATGCCTGTCATCTACTGCGATTACAAAAGACAGCTGTCAAACAGTTAAAGGTATACACTGCTGACGTGAGTACAATATGGTTCTTTGATGCTAACTACTGCTTTCAAAATTTTAGGACTGCTGTACTCAACATTCCTTCTGCAATAGAAAGGCTAGCTTTAGGAATGAAAAACAGCCGGAAATACACAGAAAACAGCACATATACTAGGAATGGTACAAAAAAACAGGAATACTGGGAAAAGGTCAGAGTAGAAAAACAAGACAGGGTGTTCCTGTTCCAAAAGCAAAACATCTTATGTAAAATGTCCTAAACTGCCTCTAAAAACTCAGTATGATAAAAGAGAAAAGAGCCACCATAAAATGTTGTGACATTTAAAGTGGTTACATTTTCTCTACCATTTAAGCAATGAGTGTTACTGGTATGTGTGTGAATGGAGAGATGCAAACCCGGCTATTCTGGCACTAAACCAGCCTCTAGAAAATAAACAATTCAACACCTCAGCAATCATTGATTCAAAAACAAAAAATACGGGATTTTTTTCCATACATGGTGACTGTTGCAAATCTTCAGCGATCATGTAATAACTTTACTTCTTACATTGTGCAGTGGTGAACCTTTGATTGATTCATACCCGCAGGTGCAACCAAGTGGGCGCGTTTCTGCACCTTTTTTTGCATGTTTCCGTGTGCTGCATGTAGGGCAGGCCATTCATTTTAACAGGCTACTCAGCATGGTACTGCAGCACTATGCAGATTGGTGTGTGCAAAAACCTGCGTGTTTGCAGCTGCGTGGGGGGGATGCCATTAAAAACTAATGGCAAAGTTGCTTGTCTGCTAAAGAGCAGCATATTTCTCTGCGTGACGGGAAAGAGATTTTGCGCATGTTTCCAACATGCATACATGTGAACGTAACAACCACCAAGAAAAATGTAACATATCTCAGTGCAAATTAGACATCCTTAGATGTGGTGTCTACATTTGTTTTATTTTTTCCTTTATTTTAACACACTTCCTGTTCTAAGAAAAGGCTCAGTACTGTGTCCAAGAAGCAGCATTGTTAGCATTTACATTAGAAGTACAGCCAAAGATGTTTTGGCTGCAGTACTGTGAATGAAAGGAGTGCAGTTCGTTCTGCATTCCTGTGACCCATTTTCAGCTGACAGTGGGCTGAAGCCCGCTGTTGGCTGACGTCACTCAGCCGGTCCAGGCTAGGGAAAGATCCTGACTTTAAAGTCGGGATCCACCCCAGAGTCTGGAGCGGAACAGGGCTCAGCCTCTTAGCGATCTGCTGAAAGCCTGCTGCTCCCTCTCCCTCCACAGCCCAGCGCTCCAGTGAGAGCAGGAGGCGGGGGGCAGAGCAGGCGGCGGTGAGAACTTAGTGATCGCAGAGTTCTCACACTTCGCGTTGGTGGGGGACTGATGCTCCTCCATCCACCCAGTTAAGTATAATTTTGAAAAAAACCCTTCCCATACTTCTCTTTTAAAACCAATGTACCTCCA